TTTTTTTGTGCCTGTTACCACTTTTTCTCAGCTCTCATCGAACCGATATCTTTCAATGATACGTCAAAAGATCACAAATCGTATCTAGTCGAAGACATTACACTCAAAAATTGAAAAAAAATTCCCTCGTTCCCCGTAAGTGGGGAAAAAATTACAAATTTAAAAATCGCTAATTTTCGAAATATTTTCAATTTTTTTTCCTTAAAATTGCTATAACATTTTTAAAAATAACCAAATCAATATAATTCTTTTTTTTATAGATGCATGATGTCTTTACCTATCATTTGGTATATTTTTTTTATAAATCTGACCCTTTACTTTTTCACAAAAAATTAACATTTTCAACTTAACTTTTGAAAGTGTTCCGGAAAGTCAGACACTTTTATATATATCTTAAATTAAAGCTAATGTAATGTACTTTATTATGCAAAAAATTTCGAACTTTATTTTGTCTTTGCGGTGAAAATAGCTACCAAATGCTTTTTTTGTGTAAACATTCTCGATTTTATTTTTTACATTTTTAACTTTATAATGCTATAACTTATTGAAAAGTGTATGGATCAACATAATTTTCCTATGAGAAATACTAATTTTTAATAATCTCTTTTTCATTCGACATACTTTATCTTAATCAGGATATTAATAAGAAACTAGCAGATTATGTAGCTTTTGGAATAATCCACCAATTTTTTAAAATTAAACACTATCCAAAGATTTGCATCGAATCGTTTTTTTTTATAGTGATTTTAATCACTGTTAGATATCTTTATACTTGATCTACCTATGTCACGTCCCCCACTGTGCCACGACCCCCGTGCTGGGTTTTTTTTTATTAACTTTGATGACTGTTTTCACCATGAAAACAAAAGAAAGTCCGAATTTTTTTTTTTAATATTAAAGTATATTACATAAGTTTTAATTGAAGATATATATAAAGTGTCAGACCTTCCGGAATATTTTCAAAAGTTAAGTAGAAAAAGTAAATTTTTTGTGAAAAAGTTATCATTTTAAATCCCCCCCTGTGAGCAGGTAAAGGGTTAAATATAAACAAAATATATACCAAATGATAGGTAAAGACATCATGCATCTATGAAAAAAAAATTATATTGATCCGTACATCTTTCAAAAAGTTATAGCATTATAAAGTTAAAAATATAAAAAAGAATTTTTTTACAAAAATCGTATTTTTTTTATAAACTTTGATGTCTGTTTTCACCATGAAGATAAAATAAAGTCCGAAATTTTTTTTTTGCATAATAAAGAACATTACATTAGCTTTAATTTAAGATATATATAAAAGTGTCAGACCTTCCGGAACATTTTCAAAATTTAAGTTAAAAAAATTAATTTTTTGTGAAAAAGTTATCATTTTAAATCCCTCCTTGTGGGCAGGTTAAGGGTTAAATTTATGAAAAAAATATACCAAATGAAAGGTAATGATATTATGCATCTACATAAAAAAGAATTATATTGATATGTTCATTTTTGAAAAAGTTATGGCACTTTTAAGTAAAAAAAATTGAAAAAATTTCGAAAATTAGCGATTTTTAAATTTGTAATTTTTTTGGAGGTTTCACCCTTTTACGGGGAACGAGGGAATTTTTTTCAATTTTTAAGGGTAATGTCTTCGACTAGATACGATTTGTGATCTTTTGACGTATCATTGAAAGAAATCGGTTCGGTGAGAGCTGAGAAAAAGTGGTAACAGACACAAAAAAAAAAA